GCTTGGCACCAGCACCAAGTACATATAAAACAGTTAAAACCAATTAAAACAATCAATCCAGTTACAATTAAAGCGCTCAGAGTGTCATTAATCCAGATGGTGTACCGTACAGTATGGCATCCAAGTACCCAGCTCAGCGGTCTCCCAACATACTTAGCCTATGGCAGGTTCTACTACACATTACAGCTGTTATGAACATTGGTGAGTTGTCTATAAAATCTTCCTTGATAATTGTGAGACGTCAGCAGAGGATATGAATTTCTGAGAGACATTTTTTGTCCTACATCTTTGTTCAGAAGAAGATCTTCCTTCGAAACGGCAAGACATTCCGGAGATCACCATCAATATATTTTTCTATGATTATGTATATTATTATTTTTGTTCACTTTTTTATGATTCTTTAAAGACATATATTAAGCATCACTTTTTCACAGTTTTTCTTGTTCTCCTTATTATCTCATTACTGTGTCAATCAATCGTTACTGTAAATCCACTTTAACAACATTCAGAAAGAGTATAAAGCAATGCTAGTGGGCATCCATTCTGATTAAATAGTCAATAATTACTTTAAATCAGTTCTAATGTGCTCTGTAGTGGCATATGTTACTCTGGGCATCACAACATTTAACTTCTAACATAAGAATATGGACATTCTGTAAAGTTCAGAAGTAATATATAGCATTTAAAGAGCTAGTTTCTGCATACTGTCGAAACGCAGGTTTTTCCACACAGGGAAGGGCTTGCCTGGTTTCCTTGTTGCTGCTGCTGCAGCTGCTGATATAGCGCATCAGAAACAGAGGTTCCACATGGCAGGTTTCCCCACATTTTCCCTATCCCAGTTCTCTGTAGCAGCCCCATGTGACCAGAGGACTGATTTTTTTAAACATCCACAGAGTAGCTGGGCGTGGGCAGCATGGCCTGAAAAGGGGAGGAGTGGACCATAATGAAGACTGTGCATCTTAGGTGTGCTTCTTAAGCATCCACCCACCACTACAGCTGAAGACAGGGCAGGCTTTTCCGGGCCCAGCCCCTTGCTCTGTGGCTGCAAAGTAGCCTTGAGTGACTCCGTGGCCACTATTTGATATACCATTAAAACATCATAGCAATCTATTATGTTCTCAGAATTCCCAGCTTTTATTTAGTTCCTTTTGTTGCATATATGTCTGTACCGTTATATCTCTACAACTGAAAAGGCTAGATACCTACTTTAAAAAAAACAAATACAAGCTGGGAATCCAGAGAACCTAATAGGCAGATATGCCAATGGCTGATTTTTTAAAAAAGCCCTCCAGTGGTACTGAGGAAATGGCAGCCACAAGGGAATGAGGCAGAGGAAATGGTGATTAAGTGGATGTGACAAGGAAAATCTGGATTTTCTCATCTGTGTGAGTGACCCCCCCCCCTTTGCTGCAATCTTTCCAAAACATCACAGCAAACCGGGATCAAGAAACAAGGAAAGACAGGGCAAACCCAGGAGGTGTACAGAAGTATCCATGAAGCGTACTGAATCTGACCATTGACCCATCAAGGTCAGTATTGTCCACTCAGACTGGCAGTAGCTTTCCAGTGTCTCAGGCAGAAGTCTTTCACTTCACTTACCACCTGATCCTTTTAACTAGAGATGCCAAGCAGATGCTCTACCACTAAGCTGCAGTCTGTCCCCTGTGGTAAATCCCCCACTTTACAAGCCAGGGAAAGCTCCCACGTGTAAATGACCTTACTGTCCTACTAAAATGAATGCAATGCTTTGCAGAATGACGTATTGCTTGTTGGAAGATAGTGGCCTGAAATATTTCGCTTTAGTACTACACCGTTGTCTCCCACAGAAAGAAAGATACAAGAAAATCTGGACAGCTAATTAACGGATACAATGGAATACATGAAAGCTTGGAACTATTTCAAAAGGGAAGTTTAGTCAAACAATATCACTGAACCTTTTTTAGAATTCTCACATTGTTCTGTAGATTACTTCGTACTAGGCCTATAAGAAGCTGTCAAGCAGAATTACAGGTTTAGTTCTGCTTTTCTGGCTCCCAGCTAGTTTTCCATGGAAAAATACTGTTCAGCGGTTAGCTGGTTCTCTCTGGGCTGTGGTTCCTTCAACTTTTAGTTTCAATTAATGTATTTTGGTCACCGAGTCCTGCTGCATTGTGGATTTTTGTAAATTGTAAGTTTAAGTCCTTGTGGGTGCGCATTTTTTAAAGACCTGTGGAAGAGGGAATTTCAGCAGGGGCAACTTTTCACACTCCTAAAGGCATGTGCCAAAATTTCATCTTGTGCAATCGGGCACGCTAGTCCTTCTACACGCACATTTCACTTATGAGAATGAAAACTGTTCGGCATAAAAGGGCTAAAAAATGATGAGGATACAGATGGTCAGGCAGGAAAAAGCTGAAATATATAATAAGAACATAGATATTGAGAGGCTTGTTCACATAAGCACAACCTGTGAGGGAGTTATGTCTAAAGCAAGGCAGATGCTCAAAGGGATTTTTGGCTTATGATTCAGAAACAACGGAGGTGCAATATTCAACCCACATTTTGTGCGGGATTGTATACACACGTGTATTTCAGCAGCTTCTGTACAGACCACACACTGCTGGAGCTAAATAAGGACCTGATTCAGCCAATGGAAAGCACATCTCCATTGACCACATTCTCTACACACATCTAGTGTTCACAGTTCTCCATCTAATCCTCACAACAACCCTGTGAATTAGCCTGGGTTGAGAAAAAGTGTGACTGTTCCAAAGTCACTCACTGAAGCTTCACTGCTAACTGGGGGACTGAGAGACTAGTCTGACACTAACTCCCATACTGGCTCTCAGGCCCCTCTTGGAAATCAGTCAGTCATAAAATTACTTTTGACATTGGTGTGTGTGTGTGGGGGGGGGAGTGCCATTAAGTCACAGCCAATTTATGGCAACCCCATAGGGTTTTCAAAGCAAGAGATGAACAGAGGTGGTTTCCTATTGCCTCCTTACGCATAGCAACCTTGGACTGCCTTGGTGGTCTCTCATCTTGCTTAGTTTCTGAGATCTGATGAAATCAGGCTAGCTTATTGTTTAAGAGACCTGTTTTCTGTGACCAAGATTGTTAAACACACCTTAACACGTAGGCAGGTCTGTAGAGGTGCTTCCCAGATTCCTGATCTAGCCCCAGATTAGAACTACCAGCAACAGTGCCCCTCCTTCCCCATGAAGACTCCATTTTTCATTAGGTTTAGGTGTATCTTTTTCACATGTGGGCATATATACTGATAACCTGGCTCCTGATGTTGTGCTGAGAAGACTACAGACAGTGAGCTATTCTTAGCCTGTTTGGTATAGTGGTTAAGTTTGGTGTAGTGGTTAAGAGCACGGACTCTATTCTGGGAGAACCAGGTTTGATTCCCCACTCCTTCACATGCAACTGCTGGTGTGACCTTTCAGAGTTGTTCTCTCAAGAGCAGTTCTTGAAGGAACTCTCTCAGCCCTACTTACCTCACAGGGTGTTTGCTGTGGAAAGGAAAAGGAGATTGTAAACTGCTCTGAGACTCCGAGTGAAGGGCAGGGTATAAATCCAATCTCTTCTTCTTCTTCTGCAATGGTCTTTGGGGGGCTGAATGATCACACTAGCAGAGACCAAGTAATTCAGGAAGCATTACTCCAGAGCTTCCCCAGATTTTTAAAACTCAAGGCACTGTATTTTTTTTCTGGATTAAAATTGGAGTCATACTTCCCTTTTACACACACTATCTTCTCTCTCTATTTGTATATTTTGTCTCAGTCGGCTATCAGAACAATGAGCAGAGATTCTCCTTGCAGCTGCAGGATAGCCCAGTTCTTACCACTCTCTTAAGTCAAGGCACAAGCACAGGATCATACATGCTTTTAATGGTGATGCTTCTGGGAGGTGAAATGACAAAGGTCTACAAAATGATGCAGAGTGTAGAGGAAGTAGACAGGGAGAAACTTCTCTCCCTCTCTTGTACTGCTAGAATGCTAGAACTCATGGTCGCTCTACAAAATTGATTAGCAGTACACTGAAGACAGACAGAAGGAAGTACCTCTTAACAAGATAGGAAGTTTGCTTGTGAAACTGCCTGACACAAGATGTGACGACAGCCACTAGCTCAGAGGGATTTAAAGTGGGTTGGACAGATTTATGAAGAATGGGTTGACCGTCAGGTGCTGGGCTACAGTCAAGAGGAAAGAGCTGTAGTCTGAAGGCCACGCTTGTTGGCTCCACTTTAGACATCTGGCTGGCCATTGTTGGAAATAGGATGCTGGATTCAGATGGACAATTGGTTCAGCACAGCTGTTCTTACACTCCTATGATTCCCTGGGCCTGCCAGTTGTAGTATCAAGGAATTTCACTGCATCCTTAATATATCCCCATGGAATGATGTCACTGCTCATTTGTTAGCCCTCCTCCAGGTTCTCCCTAGAGCTCTCTGTTTCTCATACTCCTCCCCCCACTGGCTGAATTATTTCAAGTTCTTCCTCACCCCTCCTTTCCTGGACTGGCTACCCTACAGGTGCACCATCCTGCTAACAACTGGAGTCATGGTTTTAAAGGGACCGCTGGGGGCCAGGGAATTTCTTTAGGGGTTAACGTTGGCATGCACCAGAGCAGCATCCTTACTCATGCTTTGGTCAGAAGGGGTGGCATTTTACTGGCACAATGGGTGCCAGCAGTGTTCCCTTGTCCGCAGGTCAGGTAGCCATATTCCCCTCTGATGGAACATGACCCCGTCTTGGCCACTGCAAGGTACCACAGATTGGTTCCTTTTAAATCCACAGATTATAAGAGACAGATAAGAGTCTGGTGAATGTCTGTCCCAGTCATTTGACTGAGAGCACCTACTCCTATCGGCCTGATGAAACTAAGGATGTGTGGACCTAAGTAACACCTGGATGGGAAGACACCAGAAGTTCCATGTTAACTGTCCTGAGCTTCCTTCAAGGAAGAAATGATAACACATATTAAAACTGCAACAACAAATATAATATGCCTACCTTTAATAGCAAGCACTCCATGACAGAAATCCTTGAAATTGATCTTGCCCAGATCATTGGGATCCAAGTATTTGGCAAATTTTTCCACCTTAAAAAATAAAGTATAAAAAAGTTAGCAAAACAGAAACATTTTTTCCCCATGAAAACCTGCCATTTTTCCCCAGCAAGAATTTAAATATGGGGGAAATTGATAATATGGTGTATGTAACTGATCTTAAGTATACATGAATTCCTAACTCATTCCCACCAGAGAACAGTTTAAAAGAAAAGATGGAGCAGAAATAGGAATTTGAATGGTTTAACACCACAAGTAGTCAGCTGATATCTAGGATAACATTATGAGGGCTGAAACTTTTTACCAATGCTAGGCTATATCTGACACGAGCAGGATATGAGATTTGCCAGAGATCTTCCTCAAGAAGTACTGTAGTAGATTATTTCAGTGGGCCTTCAGTCAGTGCTGGGGAGCTATAGATCTGTAGTTGACCTTCAGTTTCATCCATTCTGATTCTAAGCCTTCAAACTCTCCTGACTCTTTCCAGTAACACATTTGTTAATCTGTATAAATTGCTAAGGTGCCACTTTTGGGAAGCATCATACGTAAAAGGAGTGGCAGTTGAGATACAAAACGATATTAGAAGTTGTAAACTTTTTCTGTCAAGAGTGCCATTTTTTATTTATCAAGTGTCTGGAGATAATCAGTTGCAGTACAAAGGTACAGATGCGTTATTGATTTTGTTTAAAGTTATGTTCTGCACTCTCAGCACAAAACCTCCCAGTGTAGTTCTGTAGGTGCCTGAGGCTTGTTTACCACATCACGGATTAAGAGTACACAGGGAACTTATATGCAGTGCCTGTCAACATTCATGAAATAGTTCAATATATCTGTTCCACCAGGCATAAATGCAGCAAGAAGCCACAATGGCCAGCATGTATACATGTGTCACAGCCAGGTGCAGATGTAACGCTACAGGTACACACCTTTATAGTTGGCACTTATTCTTAATCTGCAAGTACCCTTAGATTACATATAGGAATGAGAAGAGACAGAATAGCATGGAGGAAATTGGAGGTGGTATGAATGTGATGAGAGGGTACCTTCCCACATTACGTTTATGCCACAGGAGACAACAAGTAACATGAAAAGCCCCAGACCACATAACAGGAAGCATGTGGAGGTTCTTCCCAGCACCAGCACTGGCTCAGGTTCCAGGAGAGGAAAAGTAGCCTATGGGAGGAACTGAAACATGGGCTTCACCCATGTGGCCTGAGGCATGACCCAACAACTACTGGAAGGAGAATGTGCTCTACTGGCTCCCATACTGCAAATCTAACAGTGAGGAGAGAACCTGGAAGTGCACTCCTCCTAAGCAGAGTCATCCCTTCTAAGCTCATAAACTTCAATGGACTTAGAAGGGTAAATGGTTTTGGACTGCATGGTAACTAACCTAAATGGAGAATTTCACTTGTACAGGTCATTATATTGATATTGCTGAGAACCACAGCCTTGCTACAGAGATTCTCGTTCGTGTGAAAACCCCTCTCTGCAGTATCTATGTCAATATTTGAGCAGTGTTGTCATTAAAATCCTGGACAGTAGAGAAGTGCATGTCCACGAAGGGTCAGTGTACACATTATGGCTTAGATGTAATGGTAGATATCCACAAAAAGATTGTTGCTGAATTCCTCCTTTCACTGCAGAGTCATTCCTCATGCTGTTCCTAGGAATTCCCTACCCCCAGGAGCGGCATTTGGGGGACAGCTTTGAGCTGCAGCAAGATCAGGGAGGTGAGAAAGTCCTATTCTGCTGTTGGAAATCTGTTCCACTAGACCCAACCCTATGCATTTATGTTTTTAAAACATTTTATTCTGCTCTTCAGTGATAAGGGGGAACAGCATTGGGAAAAATTGACTGGGTTGGAGTGGAAGCAGATTTCTGAAAGTAAAAATGAGAGCATAAGCATTTCTACACAGAGAAAGGCAAGACACCAAGCTGGAGATGTAGGCAGTTATGAATCCTGACATGACCTAGATTCCCTATTTCCTGAGTTCTTAGATGCAGCCACAAACCCTACTAAATTCTTAAACAAAGGTGTGGGGGTGGCTTTACATTTTTATTTGTACAGGATTTGAATTCATAAAAAATGACTGTTCTTTCTGATGTTGAAATATAGGGGCTATGGCTCAGTGAAACAGCCTCTGCTTGGTATGCAGAAGGTCCCTGGTTCAGTCCCTGGCATCTCCACTTAAAAGAACCGGGCAGTTGGTGATAGGAAGGCCCTCCACCTGAGACCCCAGAGAGCCACTGCCAGTTTGAGTAAGCAATATTGACCTTGAAGGACTGATGGTCTGATTTAGTATAAGGCAGGTTCACGTGTGTGTTCAGGAAATATGATACTGAACACAAAGGAAGACTAGTGATGTAAATTATTTTTAATTATAAGAATTGCCTTGCTAGATCAGAAGAATGGCCCATCTCCAGCCAATCAGAAAGGAGGGATGCCATGACAGTTTGAATGATTATGATGATGGGAAGGGCTGTGGCTCAGTGGCAGAGCATCTGCTTGGCATGCAGAAGGTCTCAGGTTCAATCCCTGGCATCGCCAGTTAAAAGTACCAGGTAATAGGTTGAAAGACCTCTGTCTGAGACCTGCGAGAGCCGCTACCAATCTGGGAGAGCTACTACCAATAACTGACCTTAACAGAACAATGGTCTAATTCATTACAAGGCAGGTTCGTGTGATGTATTTTACATGATCACTTAATATTTCTATTGACCTCTTTTTCAGAACGTTGATGAATAATTTCTTCTTCATTGATAAATACCTACCTCTTGAACAGAGTACATGTATGATGCCATAAGCTAAATTTACTCCAGTGGGAGACACAGTGCATTACTCAGAGGAAATATGGGACTATAAAATTAGGTCCTAATTTCACATTTTAGATGCTATTGTCTCCAGTAGCTGTGAGAAACACACACAGCCACGTCAAAAAACTGACAAAAATATCAGGCTCTGGTTTCGTCAAAATAAGACTGGGGGCAGGGAAGAGAGGAGATATAAGGAAGCTGCAATTCCACCTTAAGCAGTGTTAAGCCCTTCTAAGTCAGACACGTTCAATGTTACTAAATTTAGGATGCTTGTAATTCAGTTTAGGATGTAACCTAGGTTGTAACTCAGTTTAGGATGGTGCAGTTGGTCTCATTGCAGAAGGAACATTAATTCAGGACCACGGACAGCAAATTGGTCACATTCTTAACTAATCCACTACCACCCAACAAGTACACAACATCATCAGTGAACGTTCTCCAAGTGACGTGTCCAAATCTGGACATAAAAAGAGCAACCCAGATAAGGCAACAATTGATATCAGGCACACATTCCATGAGACAGTTGAGCCCAATAACCATGGGCCAGCTCATTAATGTTACATTTGATTCCTATTTACTTTGTATATCTTCTGTAATGGGCCTTGGGGGAAATATAGGATCCAGGATTTTATCCTCAAGGAGGGATGAGACAACTGTTCCTCTTCTGGATGTCAGAAGCCACTCCAAGTAGGGGGATGTGTGTTTGTATTGTGCCATCAAGTCACTTCCAACTTATGGTAGTCTTATGAATTACTGACCTCCAAAATGTCCTCTCATTAACAGCTTTGCTCAGGTCTTGCAAACTGAGGGCCATGGCTTCCTTCCTTGAGTCAATCCATCTCCTCTTTTATGCAGGGGGATGGCACTGTGTAAAAATTTCCAAATGATGCCTTTGCTCCCCAAACTTGTAATGCTCCCTACATTTTTAGCTCATGATTAGCCTTATGGTCCTGGTTATGAATCACAGCTCTAATCCAGAGCCAAGCCATCACTATCCACTCCTCCCGCCCCAGTTCTGCTCATCAAAACCAATGTTCCAATCCCACCCCAAACTGCCCACTACATAGATGCAAGTCTCTCTGGTCTTCAAATCTGTGGTTCTCACTGTTGTGCCCATGCACATATTCAATGATGTTTTCGTTGATCTTAATAAAGTTATTAAGTGGCCTTTGGTTGTGATTTTTTTTTTTTAACTCCAGGGCCACAGCGTGAAACAGGATGCTGGATGAGATGGACCACTGATCTGACCCATCAGGGCTCTTCTTAAATTGTTAATGGAGAAATGAATGCTCATGTATTAATCTGGCCTCACGGTCAGAAGAGTTTGAAGGAAACTGCTAGACAGTTGTAGGGCACATTCTCTAGTTATCTTGTTCAAAATGTAGGACTCAACAGGTCAAACTTTAGTTATCTTGTTCAAACTGTAGGTTATGTTGTCAAACATCTTTCTGCCAAGGACCAGTAGAATAGCTACATCCACAGTAGCTGTGAGCAGGGGAAACACAATTAAATGGTTGCTAGGCCTGGCATAAAAGCAACACTTTTCTTGAATAAACTAAAATAAAATAGAAAATATGTTTTAAAATCTGTAAAAACAAATGGGAAATAAAGGTTCTGCTTTCCAGTGTTCAGCCTGCTTATTTTAGAGTTACAGAGACAGTTCTGCTATAGCAAAAGCAGTAAATCTCCACTGTGCAGGAGACAGCAGTAAATGGAGTAGGGAAACAGCACATCCCTCCAAATACCATGCTCAAGTTAGTTTTATTTGCTGAGCGGTTGGGTTAGAACGGATAAGAGGAAGTACTTCTTCACCCAAAGAGTGATTAACACTTGGAATTCACTGCCACAGGAAGTGGTGGCGGCTACAAGCATGGACAGCTTCAAAAGGGAATTAGATAAGCATATGGAGCAGAGGTCCATCAGTGGCTATTAGGCACAAGGTATAGATAGGGGCTCTGGGGCAAGTGATGCTCTGTCTTCTTGGTGCTGGGGGGGGTCAACAGTGGGAGGGCTTCTAATGTCCTGGCCCCACTGGTGGACCTCCTGATGGCACTGGTATTTCTGGCCACTGTGTGACAGAGTGTTGGACTGGATGGGCCTTTGGCCTGATCCAACATTGGCATCTCTTATGTTCTTATGTTCTTATTCATGCCTGGAGGGGAGCCCAAGCTGCTTGACTGATCTCTCTTTGTTTGCAGATCTCCATTTTCATCTCC